AGATTTGCTACAGTATTTATTATAGTACTTATTTACAATATTTACACATTATTATTATTATTTTTTTTGACATAACAGTTATGTTAACAGTTTCGTTATAATAGACTGGGAAATTGCATCTCAGCTCGGCCAACCTGACAGTTGATCGCCTCGATCTACATAAACAATATAAAACAATTTATCACAGTATTCTGTTGGCACATAAAGTAAGTTCAGTGTAAGTTTACATATTATTATTATTATCATAACTTTTTTTTTTTTTTTTTTTTTTACAGAGTATTTTCTTCATCGGCTGGGATAGTATCTTTATTATGTGGTAACAACCATTTCCTCATTCTGTTGGCCTCAATAACACCATCATACGGAAGTTGAGTTAGCTGGCAATTTTCTATATCGCGTATTACGTACCTATCATTTCCCACCACTCTGTGCACTGTACACGGACCTTTATAGCTTGGTATACATTTTTTATTAGTCCCAATTTCGGTATTAACATTACGTACCACGACAAAATCCGCCACCTTGTATTTCTTTACGTCCCTACTATGCTTCAAAAAGTAGTTAAGGTTGTACTCCTGCGACTTATTTATGGAATCTGCGGCATTTGAGCGCATCTGCTGAAGATCACCCTGCTGTACTTGAATTTTGTCGTCAAGATATTCTGTTAGTTCATCTATTACTTCTCCCCTCTGTTCTACTCCGAATAGCAACATACTAGGGGTATATTTTGTCGACTTGTGTACGGAGTTGTTAATTGCGTATTCCACACTCAGAAGCTTATTCGACCAGTCTTCATGATTTATAGCATCACATAATTTCCCTAGCATTGATTTTATTATTCGATTGGCCCTTTCAACCTGCCCATTCGCCTGGGGTGATGCAACCGCTACCTTAACATGTGTTATATTTCTTTTTAACAAAAATTGCGAGAATTCTAAGGACGTAAAACAACTCCCCCTGTCTGAAATGATTCGTCTTGGACGACTGTAATAGCTAAAGTATTTGTCTAGAGCCGCAGTAACTTCACGAGTACTGGTGGAATTTGTTGGGTACAATTTTATATATTTCGTAAATGCGTCGACCACCACCAAAATGTGCTTTCTCTTCGACTTGATCGATGGCAGAGGCCCAAAATGGTCAACATGAATTGTATCAAATGGTAACGGATTTTTCGGAATATTATGTAACCTCCTTTCATTTGCGTGCACCGGCATAGCATACATAATACATTTCAGACAGTTGCGGATAAATTCATCTATTTTGTGTTTCATATTTTGGAACCAATAATGTCTGTAAATTTTATCAAAGGTTTTGTCCACTGCCTGGTGCCCTATCTTCTCATGCATTAGCCTGATGACGTTGTTTACCATTTCGCATGGCACGTATAGGACCTTACCCGCATCCTTCTTCAATTTAAAAACTAGTCCGTCAATTAGATCAAAGTCTTTGACCTCACCTTCTTCTATGCGGCTTCGCAAATTTTTAATGTCCTCGTCACGTTCTTGGGCTACTTGTATTTGAAAGTCAACGTCATTTGCATCTAAAACAGCGGCAACATGGCACCTACTCAGAGCGTCGACATGTCCCATCGATGCTACCCTACGGTGTTGTATAGAGTAATCGTAATTCTCTAATTCTAAAGCCCACCGAGCTATTCGAGGATTTACTTGCTTTCGTTCCAATGTAAGCGTCAGCGAATTACAGTCCGTTATTATTTTAAATGCTATGCCTTCTAGGTAGATTCTAAATCGCCTTAAGGCGTAAATTATGGAGAGCGTCTCCAATTCGAAGCTATGATATTTCGCCTTGACGGCCGAAGTCGATTTCGAAAAATACGACACAGGATGCAATTTTCCGTCATTTTGCTTTTGAAGTAGAACAGCTCCAAAGCCCAAAGCACTCGCGTCACAATGCAATTCTGTTTCTTTATTGGGGTTATATATAGCTAAAATTGGTGACATCGTAAGTTTACTTTTCAATTCATCAAAAGCATCAATGCAATTATTATCGAAATTAAAATTGGTATTCTTTTTCAACATATTTAGCAATGGCTTCGCAATTTGTGAAAACGATTGTATGAATCGTCTGAAGTATGAAAAGAGGCCAATGCAAGATTGAAGTTCCTTGTGGTTTTTTCGGAATGGGATAGTTCTTTATGGCCCTTATGTGTGACACACTTGGTGCTAAACCAGAAGGAGAAACTGAATATCCTAGGTATTCAATTTCCTGATATCCGAAATGGCATTTATGTAAGTTAAGCTTTAACCCATTCTCCGCAATTCGTTTTAACACTGTTTCTAATAATGATTTGTGCTCGGCATAATTGGAAGTTGCTATTAAGATGTCGTCCATGTAAACTGTTATTTTCCTTGCGTCAATTAAATCCCTAAAAATAGTATTCAAAAATCTTTGAAACGTGGCAGGCACATTTTTTAGTCCGAACGGCATTTTCAAATACTCATATTGTCCATTGGGCGAAACAAAGGCAGTAAGAGGAACGGAATCGGCAGCTACACTAATTTGGTGGAACCCATCTTTTAAATCTAATATTGAAAATAGTGTTTTGCTCTCTAAGTATTCTATACAATCGTCAATAAGAGGCAGTGGATAGTTATCCCTCACTGTTATTTTGTTTAACCCTCGATAATCAATGCATAGGCGTGTTTGACCGTTCTTCTTTTTCACAAGTACTATGGCAGAGGCATATGGCGAATTACTCGGTCTTATTATTCCCTCTGCTAGTAAATTGCTTATAATATTTTGAACTTCGCTGCGTTCCGCGAATGAAAGCCGTCGAGGCGTACAATAGAACGGAACGTCCGTCGTCAAATGTATCTTCATTTCATATTTCAAGGGGTTTACTGCAACTTCTACCGGGTTGACATATGCGTTTAGTATTATTGATTTTAATTCCAATTGACATTCTCTATTTAAAACAGGACTAATATCTAACAACTCGCTTTCTAGGTCAATTTCAATACTGAATACATCAGGCACGTCATAAAAACTCTCATGTTTCAGGATATCCTCACCTTTCTCCAACTCAACTTCCGGAAGTTTGCGTATTATATCACCAGAACAACTCATTTTATTACATTTAAGAATATTGTATCTACCCAAAATATTACGTAAATTATTCGACAGGGAATTGCAAGCGATTTCATTTATTTTATTAAAATTCATTAGCTGAGTTTTATTGAACTTCAATTTTGTCTTAATTAGGTTAATATTAAAGGACTTTAAAAAATTTCGTCCTAAAATGACAGGTACTGACATAGCGTCATCAGGCAAAACATTAATAACAATAGTCTTCAATTGCATTTCAGATTTTATAGTACATTTTATTTCACCTAAAATTTTTAATTTTCTTCCACCAACACCTCTGTAGCTTCTTTTCCCCAAACTCGAAACTTCCGTAACATTAATAGGCACGCAAGACTGTTTGATGAAACTAGCCGGACTGCCGGTATCAAAAAGAGAGAGATATTCGTAAAAACTTGCACTTCCCCTTGAACTAACATTGAATGAGATACTTACTAAATTAAGCGAATCTAAAACTCTCGGATCCTCCTCAACAGCGGCAACTTGTTTTCCAGGAACGGCCTTCAAATTTTTCTTCGGATTGTTGCACTCCCTATGGCTGTGGCCCATTTGCCAACATCGAAAACATGAACCTCTAACCCGCAGCGGGTGCGGACAATTGGGCTTAATGTGACCCCTTTGCGAGCAATTGTAGCATAAAGGGTTATCGGCACTCGTATCCGTAGTTGTTTTAGCGGCATTGTCGGCAACAGCAAGCGATTGTTTTGTTTTTCGCAGATCGGCAGCGGCATTCTGGGTCAAATATTTCTGTTGGTACCTGTTCACCAACTTCTTTAGCTCCTTCACAGAACGAGCTCCAACTAGCAGGTTGATGTTGTTGACCTTATTACCTATACCTTCGATTATAAAGTCGATAACCTCGAGTTCGCCAATATCTGAGCGCTTTGCGATTGACTGCATAACCAGAATGTAGCAATGCAGGGACTCTTCTTCCTTCTTCCAATAGCGTCGGGCCAGCATCCTATAAACATCTCGGCGCGAGACGACCGTGCCAAACTCATTGATCAGAGCTTCTCTCAGCGCTTCAAACGTAAAGACATTAGCAGTCTTGAGGAACTGGCGGGCTGTACCCGTAAGCGAACGGCGCAAGCTTAAAAACAAAAACTGTTCATCGGCATTAATGCTTGCCATCACTTCGGAAAATTCTCGTAAAAAGTCGGTAACGGAGTGCGCCACCTCGTCACCACTAAATTTCGGAACGGCATATTCAATGTCGCTGAAGTTCACGCGTCGTCCAGGTACATGGGCGGGACCCGATGCAGAAACATTTTCGAGCTCCCTGATTTGACGCTTCAATTCTAATATTTCCTTCTGCTGTCTCAATTTTTTAATTTCCTCATCAAGAGCAGTAGTTGAAGATTCATTTAGCTCGGAAATAATGTTAGGGGCGTTGGTATTAATATGACTGGTAACGGCACGACGATTTAAAATGGCGGCTGGCCTATTCGCGGCGACGTCTTCGGAGTCAGCAGAATTTCTAATAATCGCGGCAGCAGCAGAGCTTGCCGCAGCGGCACCGGCTTCATCGGTAACAGCGGCAGCATCGGTAGCGGCAGAATCGTCAACGGCAGTAGCGGCATTATCGATAGCGTCAATTATTTCAACGGCGGCATTACCGTTTACGGCACCTTGCATAGTCGCTACGTCATAAACGCTGTAAGTGGCGTCATCTAAAGTTAAAATGGCTCCTTGAGCGTCGGCAGCGTCGACGACGTAGACGGTACCCCGTTTTCCATCGACGTTTTCCCCCGGGAATGCACCAAAGTCGCCGTCCACCAACTTAAATTGTCTAGCCTGATCAGCGCCAGAAGTTTTGGTCGGACACTCATCGCCTGCGTCAATCTCCCAAGGCTCATCTTCGCCTCGGCAGTCTTTGTACAGACGCTTCAACTGCGCAACCGTGGCCGTCGGCGG